GTAGAACAGAACCATTTGGAGTAAGGCGTTGCTGTCAGAGGGTTATCAACAACACAGGTTTCTAGATAGAGTTTAAAAAAAAAATCAGATTGTTTCTATTTATACCTGCCTTTGCCTTGGTAACCAGAGTCTGCATGAGGGATGCAGTATTTTCCCCACATCATGGATGGCTCCAAAATCCAGGCGCAGCCATGCGGTACATGCAGTGTCTGCAGAACTATCACAAGAACTGTCACATTCATTTCTAAGAGAGGATTTTAAACATTAAGCAGGAAAGAGATTTCAGAAAGGGAGGTGTATTAGTATAGCTTCAAAATAATTTGCTCTCTTTTCTGTCTCATCTACTTGATTCTTTGATCTTCTGAGTATTACAAGGACCATTTTTCTTAATTACCCCAAGCAGCTTACCTGCATCTGAGGTAGCGGGATTTACTTATAGTTGGACACATTATGCCTTTGCTCTATCAAGGAGTTGAATAAGGTAAGAATGGACTTGACTGCGTTTCTTTATACTTTAACTCATTCTTGCTTACTTAAGATCAGCTATTCCCTACTTTGCAAGTTTATCTGCAGCTTAGGTGTCCTTGTAGCCTTCTGCAGTGTTTAAAAGCTGAACCAGGCTATGTTCTTGCACCTTTATTGTTGCTCTAAGCTCCTGCCCTGCTGGGAGAAAAAACATTTCAGTTCTGGGCAACTGTTTTAGGCATAATTCTTTGTTGTTGTGTTTTCCTTATCCTTTTACTGTCAGGAAGGGTGGAGCAAACCAAGTTTCTTTCTCTGTCACTATAATACTTGGGTATTGTACCTTCTTAGAAAATGGATTTGGAGAGGGAAAAGCAGGTACATAATAGGCTTAGAATGAACATGGGGAATCAGGGCCCTTACTGAACTTCTAGTGGACTTACTTGCTTCCCTTTTAATAGCTTCACTATCCAGTTATGATCTGGGAAGTAATTTCTGATCTCCTGTATAAGGCTCACAGAAGTCAGTGCCAAAGTAACATTAGCAGGGAAGAAGGGGAAATAGTTCTGGGAAGCGGAGTAGGATTAGAAAAGAACCTGCTGGGCTCCAAAAATACTCAGAGATATCCGACTTACAAAAACACATTCTTGGGATAAACGCACTCACTGCATTACTGTCTTTGAGAACAAATGTATAAATTTTCACATACAGCCTTCTTTCACTCTAGTTGCTGTTTTGCCAGACCCTAAGTCTTATGAAATACTGCAGGGGAAGAAAACTGCCCCGGGGGGGAAAAAAGGAGGCAGTTGGGAGCACTGGAGCCCTGCCGCACTCCTCCACATCTCCTTGGCTGGAGATCCCAGGGCTGGCATGTGGTGCTGGAGGTGGAGGCAAAAGCTTTGTGCCATTTGGGAGTTTTCCTCCATTTGCCTGATGGTGTAGTTTAGGCACAGCGTAAGTGATTCAAAAACTCAACTAAGCAGAGTTCTCATTTCAAGTGTAATCACTCTCATTGTTTTTCCCACACTGCCTATATAAATAATTAAAAAAATAATTGAGATAATAGCACAAGCAGTTTCAAACTCTCAAAAGCAGGAGAAGTGAGTGGCAAGGGACCAGCACTTTAGGACGTAAAACCACAGTAAGCTGAATCATCGCACCTGCTCTGGCATGTTTATGAGGAGAAGTCTGAGTTGCCGTAAGACAAGTATGAACTGGTTTGGGGCAAGTGAAATTCTGGTTTCCATTCCCCTACAGTAGCAGAACCCTAAAAACAAGCTTTAGTTCCTGCTACCCCTGTGTAGCCTGTAATGCTCCTCCACAAAGGCTTTCATGAATCTTGAGCCACACTGTTGAAATCAACAGCTTTCACATATAACCACATTTGCTTTCGTCTGACAGCCAGATTTGCTGCTCCCTGTGGGAAAGAGTGGGGATGTTTTCTGGAGCTGGTTACGCTCCCCAACTTTGAGGGCCAGCCTCACGCCATTGGTGGTGACAATTGGTGGTGACCCTGGGAGCTGCCGAGCCACACAGCCACTGGAGATGGGTGCAGGAAAGGCATGCTGCTCTCCTGCCACGCTCCCCCACGTGTGGTCCTTTGCACACGAGGCCTGGCCCCTCGCAGAGGCTGAGGAGCATGGCTTGAGGTCCTGCGCCTTTTTGTGGAGCACCTGCAGCAGCGCCTCCAGGCAGCCAGAGTGCAAGCACTGCCAGGACGCTTCCCCGGCCCCCCTGTGGCCTTTAGCAGTCTTTGGAGGAAGTTCAAGTAACTGGAGATGGAGACACACAAAGGAGAGGAGCACTGTGTTGTTTTGCCAAACAAGAGATTAAATGGAGCCAAAGGTGAAGAGAAGCCCACACACAAACAATGCCGCAGGAGCGTTAACGCCACACCACCACCTGAGAGCAACTTTGGCTTTACTGCCTTGGTCAATGCTCTGACCGAGATGCTCAAGAAGTGTTGTGTTTCTGCGATGGTTAACCAGTTATTGAGGGACTGCTTCCAGGCTGGTGATGAGCACTTGCAGAGACAATGTTCACCGTGCTGGCAATGGAGGATGAGGCCGGTGGGCTGGACAAACGCCTTTCCTTTGCAGTGACTTCCAAAAACCCCTGAAACAAAAGCCACGAGCCAGATCCACAGAGAGGCTGCGGGGACAGCAGACAACGTCCCACAGGGCCTTTTGCACCTCGTACCTTTTTTCACGGCACGCAGGTCTGAAAATGCGAGAAGCCCCCGGGCCCCAGCCTCCTGCTGGAAGCAGCGTAATGCTCTTCCCCTCCGGGATGCCCCGAGGACCTCCCAGGGACGGGCGCAGGCACAGCCCTTACCCAGCCAGCGGCTTCCCAGTGCCATACCCCACGCCGCCAAGCCCGTGATGGCCGGCACCAGCCCTGGGCCGCCCGCACCGCCCTGCGGACAGCCGTAGCTTGCGTTCTGCCTTGCCCCCCCCGTCCCCGT